AAAAAAAATACCTTTACATTAACCATCATATATTGTAACTTAAAAATACCACAGCAAAGAGTGATATCACCAGATGTATATGCCGCCACACTACGGTACCGTACTGTACATCAGGTTATCACCTGTCCTGACAGGGGACAGGATTAACACACGTCTGTACATGTCACCCTGTTATCCATTATGAAGCATACATTTCTTCGGAAGTGCTGATACATGAACCAACAAATGGGACAGACACAAGGATATCACGCAATCTCGCCAAAATGGGTCAATTTGTCAACGATTATTACAATTTAACATGGAAAAGCTTTTTTTGTGAAGGAGTATAACATATATTACATTATAATAGCGTTAACGTTATACTGATAATTTTCGAACTCTTCAATGTAAACCCGAGTTACAAATGTTATATTGTGAATAAACATTGAAGAATAAAAAATAAAGTCTGTTATCCTTGACTTCGTCACCAGTGATATGCTACCATGGTTATCTTGACAGCTGATTGCGACCGTGTTTGATGATGTACCATGTGATTGAAATGGTATTACAAATTCAACGTATCACGAGCATTGATTTGATAACATCATTTACAGTTGATGGCAATGTTGCCAGATATTACTTACATGATAACATCACATCAAATAACACACGTGTAGAGGGTTCTACACACGTGTTGAAATATCCAAAATGCAACCAACATGTCAGTCGGTGGAGATAAAGCCTCGGAGCCATCAGCAATGTTATCAGTTTATATACACTGAAACAGTTCATGCTTTATAACACCAATGTGCAGCAGACTAGGGCACAAGTTTTATTTTTGCATTTTCTTTTTATAAGGCATGAGTTTAATGTTGCAATCTAGCCTACTGTTGACCTCCATATCCGAAAAAAAAAATATATGGTTCCCAATAATACAATTTTATGGTCGATGTTATATTTGAAAAGAATGGCAACTTTTGAGTATTTCAATTGTATGTAATTAAACGAATTTGTTACATAATATTTGATTTGCATAGGATCATGATTGTGACAAAATATCATTTTATGTGCGAAAAAACACAATGCTTTAATCTTTAGATAACGCTTCAGAAAGACACATGAAGGTCGGGAATCGAGAAAGAATACACCTGCTATTATCCTCTATTTGGGGACATAAAAGTGACCTAAATAAATCTACTGCACCCATTGAAACATTTATTTCTCCCTTCTTCTTAATAACCCTTGTTCACTAGCGCCTTGCTTGGCAATACCTTTGGGCTTTAATGTTGCACGTTCGGCCAGGTGAGGAAGGCAATGGGCCGGGGCATACCAAAGTCCTTCAAAATGGAGTTGCTATTTAAGGTAATGGCACCAACTGGTTCACCCGTTGTCAGTATAATGTGACCTGGCGTTATACTGTGCTTGCAGCCTAGCTAACACATAGATCGCGATAGCGCGAATCTGGTACTGAGTCGGCACCTGATTCGCCCTTTCACAAATAAACAATTTCACCAACATAACCTGCCTCCCAAACAAATACACACATGCATGCATACACAACACACATGGAGGCACGTCCGTGACCTCTGCTATATTAATAGACCGTTAAACAAAAGGTCCAGAGAACCGGAATCGTTGACCTGGATATGTTTTGTACATGATATGAGGTAAAGATATGGCACTCCATGGTAGGTACTGTATGTTCATTTGAAGTTTCAGAAAGATCCATCCAGTATTTCTGGAGATATAGCTAGAACAAACTTCAAAAGTCAAAATCGAACATGGCGGCCTGGTGGCCATATTGTTTTAATGAATACACCCTAATAATGACAGGCATTACTAGACAACATGATGGGATAAAATCTCATTATATTATGGCAGAAAAATATTTCAAAGGTTTAACCTATATTTCACCTATTGGGCCCCACCCCTCTGCTCTGAGAGCCACACCCGACCTTTATACAAAATTGAGTGCCCTCAATTGAGAATCCTGCAGACCATATTGGGATGTCAGGCCAGTAATTGCTTGTCAAGCCAGTCAGGGTCATTGACTTTAACTCACATCACAATTCATGCAACTTATAGAAATGAAAAAGTAGCGGACAGTATATTGTGGCTTTATGGTCTTCAATTATGTCGATTGACCAATCAAATACCGTGTCATATCTCAAATGAACTAGGATTCTTTAGTCGTTACATTTTTCTAAGTCAAAACCTTCATAGGAGTGTTTATTACTCACTGCCATTGTGACTTGGTTAACCTCAATTCGTTCATTTCACGTTTTTGGTTTTCCTTGAGGAGCAAACGTTTACAAAGTGCTCAATCACAAACACTTCCCTTCACAACTCGTTGGAACGAACACGAGTCCAGACTGACAGTTTCCAAACTCTGCAATTAGTCCTTCACCGCAAGCTATCCACATGTTGCTGTTGTAGGGATGGCGATAGTTGCAACCATGAGGCCTTCCCAGGCAAAAGGTATCTGTGACAACAAAACGTGCATAGTTTGAAGTAGTTGTAACGACTATGTGGCAATTTAAATACTCGCTTACGAGCACTGATTTGAAAAAAAATACATGGCAGAAAGGGGTTTTAGTTTATAAACAATATCACTCGTGGAATGTGTCTAGCATGGATGAAAAAAACTTTGTTAACACAGAATGTATTCGGAACCATGAATCGATGAGATTAGAGAAGGGAAAACATCAGCTACTGAATGGTTCCACGAATCGCTATGAACTGTTTCCGCAATTTAAGTGGATTTCATTTGCAGATTCCCGAGATCCGTTTTGATGTCTAATTTGAATTGAAAATTTAACAGTGATATATTTCTTTGTACAATATTAATTATAACAATGCCCCNNNCCCCCCCCCCCCCCCCCGAAAAAAAAGGAATAGTCATAGACCTTTTGGATAATAAATTTACGATTTATCTTTATCGTTGTAATAATAAATTATTCAATACTTAGTAGAATTTAACAATCCTGTGTTATTTAATGTTTCCGTTGACATTTAACTAGACATTTCTTAATATGGATTTAAAGATTTTATGATTTTGATATATTTTACTTGTAATGAATATTTTAACCAGTTACCTCTTCTACCGATTTTTTTCTATTTGATATGCTTTCGATGTAAATAAATGTATCTGTTAAACTTATACCTGGAATGACACGAATCACTTGCGTAATACTGAGGTTTCTTCGAGATCCTTCATCATCATTAAAGCTTAAGTGTAGTTCAACACCGGTGCCGTTATCCTGCATCCGTAGTTTGGGGAATAAAAAGGATTTAGTAAATATTTTCTCTCCTGTGCTAAGGTCTTCAGACAAAGCGTACTTGGAGGCCAGCAGTGATCCGTTGATGTGTATGGTCATGTTTTGTGGTCTGCAACCCAAATGCACGCGCAGACTGACAACTGATGGGATGTTTTCTCTAAAATCACCTCCTGTAGAATATGTTTTGTAACGATCTCGGCCAGCTAAATATATTAAAAAAGAGCAAATGTGAATTACCTAAGTGCATCAGATGAAATAAAGTGTGTATAGATTTGTATGTAGTAAATTTGACTTTTTCTAAACAGAAAACAGATATATTTTGTCATTGGATAAAGGTTAAAAACAGGTTTAAATGACAAAAAACATTTTCATTGGCAAATACAATAAAGGTAATAAGGTTCAGAACATTTCGGAGGATACATGTACCAATCAATTGAATCGAATACATCTATAATGTGAGAGAAATATTAGTGAAACTGTGGTCACACATACCTATGACATTAGTGAGGGATGTGATATTCTGTATCGTGTCGCCTCCTTTTGTTTGCAGTGACATCATAAATATCATCATGTGATCAGCACAGGTGATCGGTTCCTTTGTGTAAATCACCGACAACTCATTGAGATGCAGATGAGCCCGAAAATATGAAGTCTGATCTACGACTTCTATAGATTTATCTTTCAGAAAGGATCCGCGTCTATTCGTTTTTCCATAGAGATTCAATGCGTATGTTCGCACATCATCTGGTACGCAAGAGGTAAATTTTAGTTCCAGTTTTTCACTAACAGTTCCATTAACAAGACTTGGACAAGCTGTTATTGTTGACGTTCCTAAAAAAACCCAGAGACAAACAGTAAACTGTTCGTATTTTATGCTTTGACGAACTGCATGTGGAAAGATTTACAATTTTAAAAGATTTACAATAATGAAGATTATATGATCAATCCATAGATATTTGTTTATTTATACATATTCTAGCTTACGTCAAAACGAACACTTGTAACTATCTGCAGGTTCTCTTTAGAACAGTTTTGTATACATACACATAGCTTACCAGTAACTTGGATTTCTTTGTGTTGGGTGCTATTTAACAGATGTAGTTCCCATGGTCCTTCATCAATACATGTGACGGGACTAAACACCACGTGACATGTAGCAATAGATCCTTTAACACTGATGGATAGTTTAACTCGATCATCAAGATCAAACTTGTTTCCGTGGAAATCCCCATTGTATTTAGTTTGAAGATGACGTATGTCCTTAAGTGTTTGTACGTTTACATTCCACTTTATTGTCTCATTTGCCAATTTTCGCAGGATAAAATGCGATCGAGTTGTCTCTGAAGAATAATAAATACCATTTATTTTATTACATGTCACATTGTGTTTGTTAGAAACAATCAAAGTGCCGCACATGAAAACCGTCGTTTTTTTTTGTAAATAAAAGATACAAATGTGGTGTAACAAAATATCAGGAAATCACAAATATTCTATTTCAATAACTAGCTATCCCACTGATTTGGTCTGGCAAAACATTGTAAAAAAAGAAGAAGGAAAAAACACTACAAAGGCGGTCGATCTATCGTATTAACTGCATTACCATTCATTAACGTACTATAATTTCATGCATTTTGAATAACGATCTCACCATTCACATCGATAGATTTTTGTGCAATGGATGTGGTCTTAGTGTTCTCTAAGGTTTCCACTGTTGGTTTGCACTTAAGATTGTCTGTTCGTTGAAACATTTCCACACCCATGATAAGAGTACATGCATATCCGTACTTGTCCATAACCGTTCCATCGATGTTGGTCCTCGAACATTCCATGGGTGTGTTGTATGTGCCAAAAACTGGTGCCTGGAGCTCAAGATCCATAACAACTGTCCCACATTGATGGTACCCTGTACAGATAAACTGCACGTACCTCTCGTTATCTGAAGTATTGGTGAATGGAATAATTTCCATTTGCATTGTATCGTTAAAGTCTGAAAGATAAAAAAATGTGTAATACACCAACACGATTATATTTTAGTTTCGGACGTGGTAATAACTTTTCGAGTGTAATTGTACCCTCCCAATGTAAAAGGCAAGACTTACCAGACAGTAACCATTGACCAATGTTTTTATATATTGCCTATTTAACAGTATACTTGTTAAACAGTAATACTCTTTGGCTTTTAAAATAGATAACATCTACTTTGTCTATTATAAGATGATACTTCCGGTGCGTTGATCTAGGAATAGAACGCTTTTATTGGATGCCATTTTTGGACCGCTTTTCCAAAAGTCATCTGTTCTGGGTACTGCCTCATATTGGGTTCTGGTTCTGGATGATTGAAATGTTTAACGAGTAAAACATTTTGGAAAGAACTTAATTGACTACGCTTCGAACATTTTTAAGCCACAAATGGTGAACCCCATTGCTGGCACATTTATTCCGGCTTGGTGATTTTATAAATAGAATGGGGTGTCAAACAAATTCAAGCTTTGAGGCGCTTGATAGCAGGTTCCAAAAACAACACAATGTTCAGATTATCGAAATTTAGGTCAGAGTGAAACTTGAATCCAAGTGTAAATTACTCAACCACGAAAAGTTTGTCACATTAAAACAAATCAATACGCGGCCAGTCAACGGGGTGTATGCTAATACGGATCCATCACCAGTTCACCAGTTTTAAAATATTAAAAAAAATCGGTTGATACATTTTATTTTTATGGTAGGCCATATAGCAAGTATTGTTGTCATATATATATTATGGCTAAAAGAAAATCCATTTCTAATACAAGAAAAGCATGGTAAATCTAACGATGCTTTTGCAACTTGAGCTACCTGTTCAGCAGGTATTCCTAGCTAACATCAGAATATCAACAGTTGGTATAGTGTTACAGAGAGGACAGGGATGGCATTAAAGTCAGTTTGACAAATTTCGAGTTTCTTTAAACATTAAAACAATTTTAATGTACCCATTCTTTAGACAAATTGTCAATTTTGAACGCAAAACTTTGTGGCATCTTTATCAAGTGTTTATTCTTATTTTGATCTTGTGTGTTGCCACTAATTTACATTATGCATGTATAACCTTTTAGTATCTTTTTGTATTATAGTCACCTTTGATCTTCAGCGGTAACTTGGTTTCACTCTGAGAGTTGTTTTCCCTGCTGAAGATGATAGGATATTCTCCCTCTTCTGCGCATTCGGAAGGTTGTTTCCGGACGGAAATATCTGTATCGGTTACTTTTATGAGGAATCCGTTAATTCTGATATCGGTACCCTTACTTAATTTATAGGAAGTTCGCCCTGCTCCATTCTTCAAATAAACTGGAGGACTCAAGATATCAATCCTCTTGTATTCTCGCTCGAATGGGCAAATAATCTCATTGGTAAGAAATTGACATGCAGCTGAAAGAAAACACAGAGGAGTTAAAAGAAAAATAAATCAATTAATATAATATTTAGACAGATTTGACCTCCATGTCTTCTCTGTATTGAGTCAAACACAGTATCATTAATACTTCTACATTTTAAAAATAATTTGTCAATTATAAATTGATTTTAAAATGATTTAGACGCGAATTATAGATAACGTCCATTTTTGGTTCATATGTTGAACGATTGAACAATGAATTTTCCGAAATATTGAAACTAAGCATGTCTCGGTTCAAGTTACCGTCGTCTACGACGTTTTGAGTGAGGCCGACAACAATCCCGACGACTATACCAAGTAGTAGTACAGCTGCAATAACGACAGCAATGATTGCCACCTAAAACAAAGAAAAATATTTGTTTAGCTGAGCATTTCATCACGTTATAACTCTAATCAGCTCAGCAAAAATGGAAAGGTAATCTGTCGCAAGAATCACACATACAATAATCATTACTGAGGCCCCTCATCATTATTAGTCATTTTGCCATATTAACACCTTGCTATTCATTTAAGACACCCGTGCGATCTTACTATCTTAACGTCATGGAATAATAATAAATGACTTCCAATTTACGTCATGACCTCGCAATGGAGAAAATATATATAGTTCCAAAATGGGTGAATTTGAACTGAAGAATAACATTGGAAAGCAGTCAGTCCATCCTAGACTTAAACAATTGTTATTGATTTATTTTATTCTATCTCTTCAGAGGCTTGCTAAAATAAAAAGAAACCATAGACGTGTTAAATAAATTATACATGAAATGACAGGATATCACAGTAATCTCGGCAGTCACTATCTTACCATCTTCATTAGTGCGTTGTCAGTTCGATTTTTTCTCTTATCTGTTTTATCGGGTCATGTAAATAGTAAATTGCCACCTTGAGGTGACTTTTTATCTAAACATCATACTGCTGTGTATAAAAGACAATCTTCAAAGTGATTTTGCTGTTTCGCATATATATTTTACTTGTACAGTATCAAATGTGAAAGAAATTGAACTGATTATTGTAATACGAAAAAGATCTGTAAAGTACTTTCCGGAAAAAACCTTTTTGAAATGTTAAAATCAAAGATGACCGCCTGCAACCATTTTTTCTCAATCAGTCTCAAAATAATACATGATAATGATTTAAGGGTAACCTTCATTAGAAATTCGAGAAATATCTGTCCAGCACTTTTTAATAGCGATGATTTTATAAAGTTTTTCATAGCGATGATTTTATAAAGAAGATAAGTCTCAATATGAAACATGCACAACTAGAGTCCAATAGGAACCCTCATATGAAATTATGGAAAGATCTTTCCAAGAATTAGCGGTAACATTTTGTTTATATGATCAGTTTCAACAGTAAATATGCACAACTACAGACCAAGGGAAACTTTCGCATAAAATTTGCGAAAAATCCCTGCAGTACTTGAAAAATAGCGATGACAAACCATCACTCTCAAAATCCAAGATTGCCGCCAGTCGGCCATTTTTGTTATTTTTTTTTTATCTGATCAGTCTCAAAAGTCAATATGCGCAACAAGGGACCTAGGGGAATTTACAAATCATATTTGAGAAAGAGCTCTCAAGAAATGCCTGACAACTAGCGATAACGAACCTTCACTGAGAAAATTCTGTAGGCCACTGTGATTATCTAAACAGTCGGAAAAGTACACAAGCACCACTAGGGACCAAGGGGAACAAATGTACCAAATTTGATGAAGATCCTTTTTGTACTTCCCGATAAATAGCGGTAACAATCATTCACTGTCAAAATCCAAGACGGCCACAATGCGGCCATTCTGATTATTCGATCAGTATCAAAAGTAAATATGCTGAACTTAGGAACAAGGGGAACTTATGTATCAAATTTGAGAAAGATCCTTCTTGTTCTTACTGAGAAATAGCGACAACAATCATTCACAGTCGAAATCCGAGATGGCCAATTGTAGGCGATTTTGTTTATCCGATCAGACTCAAAAGGGAACATGCAAAAATAAGGGCCGAGGGAAAGTGACATATTAACTTTAAGAAATATCCTTCCAGCTCTTCCTGAGATATAGCGATAAAAAACCTACCAGTTGTTGGCAATTTTGTTTGTCTGATCAGTCTCAAAAGTTAATTTGCTAAATTTGGGACAAAGGGGAACCTTCATGTGACATTTGAAAAAATCACTCAAGTGCCTTCTAAG